ACATACCCTAGCAAGTGGCTTGTTTAATTTTTGACAGTGGAACTCCCCCACCTCATTTTAGTAGCAGGACAGGGTTAAAAGTTCGAAAGGTGACCCTAACCGCAACAGTGTAAAAATTGCTGACGATTGGCCTCCACGAAATTTTGCAGATTTGGGCGAATGCCCAGTCGTGGGGGCCGATGACCTTTTTAAACCTTGCAATCGACCCTCCCTCTTGCCTTAATTTTCATGAGGGCCCCCCCTTCGTACTCTCGCCATTGTCAAGTCTACTTAAACAGCGGGGAAATCCCTTACCTCAAAGAGGGAGAAGGGCTCCCTATCCATGGCAGTTTCCACTCCCCCCAAGGGGCTACCTCGTGTTTCTTATTCCCGTGTTTCAAAACGCCCCCCACTTCTGGGATCCCATCTTCTGCACCCACCTCTTTGGGTTTCCCTCTCCCATATCACCCTTTAGCTAATTCTTTTGCGCCTCGCTCAACGCCCTACTTTAACATCTCATCTGATCTTGCTTCTTTGTTTCTCTCTCACAACCTCATACGACGAGATCCGTAAAGACACCTCCTCCCCCCGCCCTCTACTTCCAAAAATCAAAAAAAAGGTCCTTACACCTCCAAACCCCTCTTCTACCTCCTCATTTTTCCCCTTCCCTGCTCTGACCTGGTTTTTCCCCCCTCTCACTGGCTCTTTAAAGTGAAGTTTACCCTCCTCCTCGCTTAAACCTTCCTCCCCCGTTTCCCTCCCAATTTTTTTCCTCTTCGCCACCTCCCAGGTTTTTGCCTCTTTTGTCCCCTTTCCCCCTTCTCCAGTTTTTCCCCCACCCTTTTCGCCCCCCTCCCTACCTTGGTACAGTCCATTACAGTTCCAATCTTTACTCATCCTCCCCCTCCATTTCCAAAATTGTCTCCCCTACACGTCTCTGAATTCTGAAACACTTGAAGCAATCCGAATATATTGCAGAAACCCAAAACCTCAATGGACACTCACACCCCCGCTCCTTCTCTCTCCTTACTCCCCCTGGCAACTCCTTTCTCACACGCACCCTTCTTCCTGCTTGAACTTTTCCCTGCCTCCGCAGTGACTTTTCTAACCCCCCAGTCCGTAGGGAAACCCCTTTCCTCGATTTCAGGGATCTTTTTCATTGCCAAACATGGCCTATTTACGTGGAATATACCGGGCCCCATGGGAATCGGGGTGGGTTCAATGTTTTTCCCCCCCATTTTCCCCCGTTGGTGTTTGCTTAAGGAAACCCAAAAAAACACTCGCTGTTTATCTCTCCCATCTCAGGCATAATTTTTTATTCTTCAGATCCTTTTCCTGATGGGGGCCTTTAATGAAATGCCCTTTTTTTACGCACGTATTCCATACCCACTATTGTTCTACTCGCTGCATTACCAGCAGCCCGTATCCACTTGCAAGTGGTATCGCCTGTTTTTTATAACTCTCCCTTCTCGGATTACTATTCCGGGTATTGCCTTTCTTGTTTTGTCATTTCCCCACCCATTCTGAAACCTGTGATTTTAAAGCCCCCCATTTCCTCTGGGGGGGGGGCTCACTGTGATTCCTTGGCATTTTTAGAGGCTTTTTTTGCCACCCACCCCCTCCATGTTTTAAAACGGTATCACACCCTTTTGATCCCCGGGGCCACACTCTCTCTTGCATCGTCTCTCAGTCTGCTCTTCCTCCGCCGCTTAACTTCACTTTTGGGCTGTTCTTTCCCCTTAAAATACGCGATCATTTCCCAATCATTCTTACTTTTCCCCCTTTATATTACCACCTTTCGCACCCAAAGCTGGGAATTTTATCAGGGAAATTGGGAAATTTACTCACACCTAACTGTTTTTTAGAGAGTTTCCTTTTTTCGTCCTCCTCGATGAGCTTTTACACCCCCTTTCGCCCCGTTTTAATCGCAGCTTCTCATTCTAAACCCCAAAATTCGGCAGGCATTCTCAAAATCGGGGCCTGGTGGTCCCCTGCTTGTGCTCGGCATACTTTGAAACCGCTGCATGGGGCAGTTTCTGGACAATAAACCACAAAGACTTCTTTATTTTAAGCAGAAGCGGCGACGCTCGCCGTGTCACTGTATGCAAACGCACTTGCGGGGAGATTATGTCTCCACCATCACCTCTGCTTCCTCTATGAGTGCATTTCGGAAAAAAGAAACGAAAACTGAGTGGTAAATATTCTCCTGACCCGGCTCCTGTTCGGGCGGGTTGCCGGTTTGATATAGCAAACCCACTAGATGTTGCCAATGAAATTGCAATCACTGGTCCGTTTTCTCAGGGGCCCATCTATGCCCCTCATTTCTTTCCTCAAAGCCCCTGCCAGAGAGTTAGCACCCTTGGACTTTTCTTCTCTCAGAGAAGAACAGTATAATGTCCTTTTACACTTCAAGAACTGGAGGCAACACTCTCACTTGCCGATCATCGGCAGCTGGGCCCGATGACATTCATATTCGTAGCTACAACATTTACATCATCAGCCCTTGCAGTCCTTTTACCCCTTTTTACAATCTTATTTGGTCACAAGAGTTTTTTCCACAGCTGTGGAAATCTCCATTGTTCTCCCTTTCCGCAAACCAGGCACTACTGGGACATGAAACCTCCCACTATCGTCCCATTGCTCTTACCAGTGCATTTGCAAAGTGATGGAACGCCTAGTAAATAAACGTTTTAGTGTGGTATTTTGAGACCAACAAATCCTCCTTTCCCCTCGTCAATATGGGTTTCGTAAGGACGTTCACCATAGACCCCCTTACTACGCTTGGATACGTATGTTTTGTAATGCCTTTGCGAATAACCACACAGTTATTGGGCCCTATTTTTTGACCTTGAGAAGGCATATGACACAACTTGGGGTATAATATTTTAGCCCAAAGCCCCCTCCTTAGGCCTTCGAGGCAATCTACCATCCTTCCTTAAGAACTTTTTAACTAACAGGCATTTCCGTGTTCGGGTTAAAAATGTGCTCCTCCCCGGACTTTATCCAAGCTGAAGGTGTCCCCCCGGATTGTTCTGAGCACAACACTTTTCTCCTTGCTATTAATGATTTGGCCTCTAGTCTTCCATCAAATATTTGGTCCATCACTCTATGTTGATGACTTCGCTAATTGCCCCGTGCAGGCGCTGACTGTCACCTGATTACAGTTTCTCTCCAGCATGCAGTCGACCGTGTTTCCAATTAGGCCACCACACTGGGTTTAAATTTTCCACACTAAAACCCACCAAATTACTTTCACTAGAAACCTCTGTCATCTCCGATCATCCTTTGTACCTCTATGGCTCCCGTATCCCTGAACGTGATACAGTCAAGTTTCTGGGCCTACTCTTTTATCGTAGGTTATCCTGGAAACCTCACATTACCTCTCTGAAGGCAACTTAGTCACAGCCGGCTGAACCCTTCTTAAAACCCTTTCTCATCTTTCATGGGAGCTGATCGTCGAACCCCCTTCGCCTACATTCCACCAATCTTATCAAAACTTGATTTTTGGGACCAATCTATTCAGCAGCATCTCCTGCTACCTCTCTAGCCTTAACCCCATTCATCACCAAGGTTACTTTATGCCTTGGTGCTTTTCGCTCTTCCCCTGTCGAGAGCCTCTATGCAGAAGCGAACGTTCCATCCTTATCCGATCGCCGTGATGCCCACTGCCTTCGCTACTATGTAGGGCTCTCATGATCTCCGCAATCCTTCCATTTATAGAATGGTCACTGATATTAGTAGACATTCTTTATTTGTTCGTCGCCCCTGTTTACTCCGTCCCTTCTCTCTTCGCTCTTGTCTTCTCTTCAATTACCACCTTTCTATGTACATGTAGCATCTCACTTTTCCCTACCCCCCTGGGAGGTTCCAGCTGTTCGAGTCTGTTCTTTCTCTCTCCCTTGCTTGAAAGCCCAACTGTCTACGGTCGTTTCCCCCGCTCTCTTTTTCTTGACCACTTTCACTCTCATTCTCATGCCATTGCTGTGTACACAGATGGCTCTAACTCTTCTGACGGCGTAGGATTCGCAGCAGTGTTTCCGGACAGCGTCGTACAAGGGCATTTACTATCTTGGGCTAGTATTTTTACTGCTGAATTATGCCACCCCTTACAGCACTTATCCGTATTGAAATCTATGCCTGTGTCATCATTTGTGTTGTCTCAGACTCCCTTAGTGCTTTACCCGGCTAAACAGAAATTTGATACACCTCACCCCTTAGTCCTCCGATCCAACTTTGGCTACGCCGTATCTTTACCAAGTATAAAGATATTGTTTTTTGTTGGGGCCCTGGTTCATGTTGACGTACAGGGGAATGAACAGGCAGACACTGCTGCGCGGTCAGCATACATGACCTACCAGTTTCATGTGAGGTATTCCATTTACGGACTATTTTGCTGCAATATCTTCCCCAACTTCACACCCGTTGGCAACAACGTTGGTCTACATGCTCGGGAACAAACTTCAATCTATTTAAAACCCAGTATAGGTTATTGGCCGTCTTCTTATCACCAGTGTCGAGGTTGGGAGACTACTCTCTTTTCCCGTTTCGCATTGGCCCTACTCTCTTACTCATGGGTATCTCATGGAGAGGCGCCCGCCTTCTCTGTGAGAATTGCCAAGTTCCATTATCAGTCAGCCACATTCGTGGACTGCCCACTTTAAACAACGAGCATGCAGAATTTTCCTCCGTCATCGTCTTCGCTCTGCTGCTCTCTCTCTACCTTCGCTTTTCTCGCTGATGGACCCACCTTTCATCCGGACTCTCTTATTGACTTTTTGACAACAACTGACTTACTTCACAAATTCTGATACCTTCAGCCCTCTCTACTTCAATCTCTTGCTACCCTCTACCCCCGTACTATCCCCTGCCCCGCTGTTTTCTGTAACCTACTGATCATCCCTCCTCCCTTCTGCCATCCAATACCCTCGCTTCCTTCCTTACCCTGCAGCGCTGTATAGCCCTTGTGGCTTAGCGCTTCTTTTTGATTATAATAATAATAATAATGTAATAAAAAAACAGAATAGAGGAAAGAAGCTCTAATATACATTATTTAGGTATGCATACTGGGCAGAGAGCCCATCATAAGTCCGAGTCATCGGTAAATGAGTACAGTACGTCGCTAAGTGAGGAGAGGCTGTATAGAGTACGTACGTAATCATCATCACTGCATGAAACTCTTTGTACATAAAAAAAAAAAAAATTGTGCTTACTGAAGTCTTTTTCTTTACATGAAATATCATGAAGAACAAAAAGGCACAATTCTGTGACTGGAAAAATACACAAATAACCCACACACAGGAGAGAGTTTATGACGACATTTCGTTCCAATTTGGACCATTTACAAAGACATTTTGTAAGTGGTCCAAGTCGGACCAAAATGTCGTTTTAAGCTCTTCTTTCCTGTGTGCAGGTTATTTGTGTGTTGTTATCACTTGAGTAAAGTCAAAATATGTTGTGAACCACAAGTTTGATGCAACAGGATCTAGCTTTAATTGAGGGCTATACTGTATTTAAAACCAAACTTACCAAAGATGACCTGATTTGTGCACACATTCTAGCAATGTGTCGAATCTGAGAACAGCTCTCTGGTATGAGGGGCTTCTCCAGGCATGCAAGAAGAGCATAAAACCAGCGTCCCTGAGCCTCCGAAAAACCTAGCACTTCCAGCCACTGGGCATGCCATTCCAACAGGTTCTGAAGGCCTCTCTGTTAAACAGTTTTTTAGTTTAGTATATTTAGTTACATATACTGCATCACAGATTGCTTGCATTGCATCTGGAATTTCCCATTTAAAAGAAAATGTAATTCAGTTATTGTACAATCGATTGAGATGTCTTTACTCCCAATTAGCCTGTGCCATCTCCAAAAATAATATGTAATTTAAATATAGTAACACCTTTAAGAGTTAAGCTATATTTTTTCTTAAAGCTATATTTTTTCTTATTTTGTAGAGGTTGTTTACACATTGTCTTAAAGTGTTCATGTGTCATTTTGGAAGTGATAATCAATTCATGTTGGTATTATATGAATCCTAACAGCACATTGATCACATCAGCACCCCACAGCATATATAAAGCAAAGCCTCAATTAGTATAAATTAGAACAGTACACAATTTTATTTTGTATGAATGATAAAATGATACCGAGACTTCATTTAATGAGTAAAAATTTGGTTAGAATGAGTCTGCTACCCACTATGCCTGCCCAGTCAACATTATGGCTCTGCCTGTTGTGGTGTGAAGATGTGCTGCAGCTTATTATCATATTCATGTTTACAATACTATATTACATTTTAAATTTTGATAAAGTGCCCATAGCAAATATGGACAAACAAAAAATGGTTATGGGGCAAATAATATAAGTGCAAAAAAAAAAAAAAAAAAAGAAAGCTTATTACATTAAAACAAAAAAACTGATGTAATAAGCAACATGGACATGACAATAGCAACTGTAAAATAGGCCAAGATGTTGGAATGCATGAATCTATGGTGCTTAGCGCTTCTTTTTGATTATAATAATAATAATAATAATGAATCTATGGTACATAATATTATAAAACACACAGATGATATAAAAGAAAAAGGTACAGTTGCATCAGCTTTTTGTGGTATGCAAACAACTACAGTACTAGAAATGGAAGCATTACAATGATAGAAATGGAGCATCTCTTATCAAACAAAAGCTTCGAGTCTATTGCAGCGAAAGAAAATGGAGTTCATGTGAACCTGAAGAATCGTTTAATGCAATGGTTGCTTTGACCTGTTCAGAAGTCGAATTAAATTTCATAATGTTAAAATTAATAGTCTATGCCAGTACAGATAAAGAAGCTTCTTTCCTTCTCCTGTGCAAGCTGTTGTTGAAGAAATAACAGACAGCGGAAGGCGGCTTGGTTTTGATGAACTGATCTGCAAATGTCCGTGACATTTTCACAGTTTATAATAAACTTGAATAAGAAATACATTTTTATTACCCTCTGGTAACATATTAAAATATTTCACTGCATACTGTATTTTCATTGGAGTGGGACCAATTACCATACTTTGTGTTTGCTATAACAGCCTTGAATGATACAAATTTGACTGACACAGTCATTTAAAGAAATTCATTATTCATATTAATTGAGGCTTTGCTATATATACATGTATATAGGTTCCAGCAGTCCCTCTGTAACATGTCCTACAACACATGTTCCAGAACACAGATCTCATTACACTCTTTCCTGATTGCACAAGTCTCAGTACATACACCCTCAGAACACATTGGTCTCATCACACATCACACTTCTCAGATTACAGGTCTCTGCAAATACATCCTAGAGCACATAGGTCCCATCAAACATCCCAGAGTATAATTCTTAGAGCACACAAATCTTGGGAAAAATATCTCAGAGCACACAGGCTTTATCACACATCTCAGAATAAACTTTTAAGAGCACATAAATCTTGGCACAGGTCCCTCAGCACATTTCCTAGCACATGCATCTAAGAGTACATAAGCCCCAGAACATACAATCAAGAATATTTATACATTCCCCGAGACCACAAGTCTTAAGATGTACATACTATATCTAAGTAAGCCAGCCTAACCATCTTGTAGCTGGTGCTGTAGTGCTATGGGTTTGAAGTTAGGGTTGATGCCATAGTACTATGCCAAAATTCTAGCAGCTTCAAATTAAGCAGGAAAAGGATGGCATGCCTATGTATGAGAGAATGGGACTGTGTGATCAGTGTGTGCAGTATACAAAAAATCAGGGTGCCAGCACTGCATTGTGGGAATGCCATCTCAATACCCATTGTTCTCCATGCCTCGCAGTAAAAAAAACCTCACTCCATGGTGAACTGGGAATCTTCTCTTCCCAACTGATAGCTCTAACATGGATGGAGGTGGAGGCGAAGACAAATTCTATGGTTCTGAACAGTTAGTGACTGAAAACAATGCTCAAGAAGACATAAATAGTGCTAAAACCCCCAACAACCCTCAACCATCCACACCTGGGGCTGATCCGTCTGGTTCTTATTCAGTTGTATCATGCTGTAAGCTCATATTTTCCCATGACCAGGGCTCAGATGTGAGCAATGGTGATGATAGTGATAATGACTGTGATTTCCTAGCTCTCAATGACCACTTTAGTAGTGACAGTTAAGAGGAACATTCACTGGTGAAGTGTCAATTTATACAATGCTGCATGTGGTCTGGTAGTGTGCCATACGCTATCCCAAGGGAATGGAGTACATATAACCTGTGGCCCTACACCAGGAATATGGTGAAAGTGACGAGGAAATTGCTACAACTGGGATGGATAATATATTGTATGCAGCAGTAGGTGGTGGTGGTGGTGCCATGTGGGATGAGGCACCAACAGCAGCCCAGGCTGGGAGCCATGTTGCTGACTCAGAAGGTGCATGACCCAGGCCACCCTCAACCACCCATACACCACAACCTACACAACCAGCTATCTATATCCAGTACCCACTGCCAAACTGCAGCTGGGACTGGCAGGAGGGTGCCAATTTTGTTCCCAATTTCCATCAATCTGATGAAAATTGAAGGGGAATCTGGCCATCTTGTATCATTGAGAACAATGGCAGTGAGCCAGAATGTTTTGAAGTATTTTTTGATCAACCCCTGATGGAAAGTATTGTCAGGTAAAGTAACAGTTACTTGATTTTACCTTGGCAAACACACTTGTTTCACCAAAATCAAGACTACACCAATGGAAGGAGACAACTGTGGCTGAGATATATCTGTTCTTTGCTACAATATGCTTAAGCCACATGTGTATAAGCACAATATGAAATCATACTAGTCAACAGACTGCCTAATTGCAACCCCAGCCTTCAGCGACATTATGCCAGTGAACCAATTTATCCTACCCTTACGTTAACCTCACACTCCAACAGCACATCATGCCCCAAAAACCACCTTCCTCCACTACAATCTAACATGTTTAGACAAGCCTGCTGGTTGCTCAAACTCCTGACACTCAAAACCTCCTGTACCACCTCTCTAGGGACAACACTTCCCAAGACAAGTGGCCTCTACTTCAGCTTTACACCAATATTTACCATTTTTTAAATTTCCTAATGCAAGGTGATCCTTATGGAGTATCCCTATACTCCATAAGGATCCCTATACTACTCTTCCTTGGATCAAGCCTGATTCCCTCTCATTCTCTGTATGCTGTATAATTCCTGTGGGTTTAGTACTTTTTCCAAACAACAGTAAAAAAATACTGTAATTTACATTTTCCATACAGTTTTTGACATTTAAAAAATTGCCTATTCAGAAAGGGCCCTGACCCCAATGCTGTTAGATTAGTGGCATCTGTATTTATAACATCTATACAAAGCATACAAATCTTATCAATTTAACGTTGAAAAGACATTCTCTACGAGCATTTTTCTAGACAACTGTACAAGCCATTTCTCCTTTATACAGCAATAAGACATGTATAAAATCTAAGCTATGTGTTTGACACATTTCATGCTATTTCTAACCTGTTGAATATTGAGGACAATGCTCAGGAGAGGTTCCTGGCCCTCTACAAGTGGAGGTTGGGTGGTATCTCTATTGGCCTTCTTCAATAAAGCCAGCTGAAAACTGTTGCCAAAACACAGCTTACACCACTCTTGGTGATTTTTAAGACCTGGCTGTTGGATAAAACAGAAATTGAATTTTTCTTTTCATTAACTTATTTGTAATAAATTATAAAGAAATTAAAAAAATTCTGTAACAAATGAATTTTCCGAACTGTAGCATGTGTAACATGAAAAACAAGTACAAGACCATGGCTGGAATAATTCACAATCCAGAAACAAAAGATGAATCATATCCAGTTTTACCTCCAATTTGTGGAGGTAAAACTGGAATGTTAAACGTAACATTAATTTTTTAAATGGCATCACAACTTGTGTATCTTAGGATGGTGAACTGTGAATAAAAAAAAAAAAAAATATTTTTTATCTCTGATGAAGTAGAGACTTAAACATTTCTACTGCTTTTTTGATAAATATTACAATCCTACTCAGTGGAGACAGTATTTGCTGCAGTGTGCTCTTCTGTACAACCAAGAAAGCTTTCATAGCATTATGTTATACAGTATATAAATTCTCTGCCATGTACATATACAGGAGGGCCCCACTTTACTGTGTTTTGCTAATACAGAAGTTTTCAATTATACCCAATCTCATTTATTCAGGCTGCTTACAATAAACATACTACTCACTATAAGCTAAGTACATAAATATTTTCAGATAAGTAACATGTGTACTGTATGTATATGCATTTTTTAGGCCTAGCTCTATTGCTCACTTAATATATGAGTGTAAACTTGTTATCTGGCTTTTATATGCATCTGAAAATGAAAAAAGGCTATGTTTCACTTTACAGCAATTTTCATTTTACAGTAGTAGTCCAGAACCTAACCTGATATATAAGTAGGGCCTACCTGTAGTGTACTACACTACAGTATTGACATACTGCATCTTAAGAGTACCTGTACATTTTATTTCAAGAAATATAGTACAAAACTATATATATAAATGTCCCCTCAGGTAAGGTGACCTGATGCCAGTCAAGAGCTCTTGATCCTGAGAATAGGATTTATCCTCTTTTTCCTTGGCTTGAACCTGACCACCTCCTGTTACCCACTGCTATTTGACTCCTATGGGTTTAGTGCTACCCATGAATAAAATAAATAAAATGAGTAAGCAAGTTCAAAGTCTCGTATACATGTACGTACTGTAGTACTTACCGTATTTTGCGGCTTATAAGATGCTCCGATGTGTTAGACACATCCCAATTTAGAAAGTAATGATCAGAAAAAAAGAATTAAGAGTACCTAATACCAAGTAATATTTACTCCACTGAAACCTATGGTAATTTTTGATGCAGAAATAAGGTTATGTTTGATTTATAGGCAGGTCAAAACATATAATAGGCCTAGTGCTCACTTGAACACCTTATTTCAGCTGGAAATCCTCACCAATCTTGACAAAATCATTACAAAGCATTAAATTTACATTAAGTAAAATTTACCAGTACCTGGAATGTTAATTCTAACACAAAATTAATTTGATTTATGGGTTGGTTAAAACACTATAGCCACAAACACCACTCAACATGTGAAGAAAACATTAATGACACTGCTTTGTGACTGGTAATTTAAGAAATAAGAAAGGAAGGTGTTACTTGGAGGAATTTTGTTTTCTGTCAATATCCTAGTACAGTATCTGTATTTCCTAAATAGCTCGTTTCAAAACGTTATTAATTTACTGTAATTTTGAAACATTGGATTTGTTTTAGTTCAATGGCTCGGCATCGGACGTAACTGGGAGAGCTACAGCCCACCCTACACCCAAACTTCTAACTTCCGTCACTGACCTTCAGTTTATAGGACACGGGGTGGTTTTTGGAGACATTTTATGGAAAAAAAAATTGTGTCTAATAAACCACAAAATACGGTATATTGTGTATCTTTACCAATCATTAAAATACAAGCTGAATAAGGTACTATGTTCAAATGGAAGTTTAAAAATCTCAAAGCATGACATTCATACATCATTTGCAGATTATTTTGTATTTAGTAACTTTTCAACTTTATGGTTATGCTTTGTTCTGGAAAAATGCCTAATAGTGAATGTATATACTGTACAACATTACATTGGAGCTAACAGAAGGCCAAACAATGTTTTTAAAGCCTTCACCATCTCTCTTCAAGCCACCAAATGCCCAGTAATGCAATACAGTATTATATGCTACCTGATGTACACAAGATGGATAATACACCACATTTTAAAGTAATTTAACTTTAAAACATACAGTAGCATAAATATACAGCGGAACCTCTACTTACAAGTTTAGCCCTTTCAGGGTTGGTGCCGTACTAGTATGCATAAATTCTAGCGGCCTTAAATTAAGCGGGAAACAGCTGGTGGGCCTAGATGTGAGAGAATGGGTCTGCGTGGTCAGTGCGCGCACTAGGAAAAAAATCGCGCACCCAGTGGTACATTGTGGGAATGTCATTTTAGTACACCTTGTTCACCATGCCTCACGGTAAGAAACACTTCACTCCTCGGTGAATTGGGACACTTTTCTTCTCCAGTGACAGTTCTAATACAGATGGAAGTGTCAGTGAAGATGACTTTCAAGTTTTTCGGGAGGTTGTGACCGAAACTAATGACCATAATATGGTAATAGTGAGGAAAATCCAGATGACCCTCAATCTTCCACCTCTGATGCTGGACCGTCTCGTTCACGTTCAGTTGTACCAGAACGAAAGAGAAAACTCGTATTTTCCCATATCCAGGACTCAGATGTGAGCAATGGTGATGATAGTGATAGTGAATATGAACTCCAAGCTCTTGAAAACAGTTCCAGTAGCAAGAGTGATGTGGAATATTCTCCAGTGAAGCATCAGTATATACAACGGTATATGCGCTCTGGAAGTGTGACATATGCTATTCCAAGGGTAAGGAGTACATCTCGGAGTACATCCCATGGCTGTACAACAGGCACAGATAGTGAAAATGAAGATGATAGTGTTGCAATTGGGTTGAGAAATGTGGATGCGGCAGCAGATGGTAGTGGTTATAGTGGGGCCAGCCATGAGGCACCAGCAGTGGGCCATGCTGTTACCCACACTGCTGGTCAGCTCAGCTACAACAAAGATCAACCTCACCCACCCACCCACCACCATACCAACCTCCACAAAACCACAACCTCCATAACCCCCTGCCCGTACCCCGTACCCCCCAGAAACCACACCGGGGTTGGCGGGAATGGCCCAATTTTTTTCCCAATCCTCATCACTTTATGAAAGTAAAGTGGAATAGGGGCCATTTTGTACATTTGGGGAACAATGCTACTGAACTGGAATGTTTTGAGTTTTTTTTGCGAACCCTGATAAAAATACTGCCCAGGAAAGCAACAGAACTTCGTTACATTATGGCATTACAATTTTTTCACCAAAAATCACGCCTAAAAACCAGAGAAGGAACAACGTGGCTGAATTATCTTTTGTTTGCCACAATAATGCTTATGCCACATGTGTATAAGCATAGTGTCAAATCATACTGGTCGACAGGCTGCCTGACTGCAACCCCAGGTTTCAGTGATATTATACCAGTGAATCGCTTTGTGCTACTGTTACGTATGCTTCACTTCTCAGACGTAGTGATGGTGGTAGAGGGGTGTAGTGGTGGTGGTAGAGGGTGGTAGTTATGGTGGTAGTGATGGTAGTAGAGGGTGGTAGTGGTTGTGATGATGGTAAAGGGTGGTAAAGTGATGGTGGTAGAGGGTGGTAGGGGTTGTGATGGTGTAGAGGGTGGTAGTGATGGTGGTAGTGGGTGGTAGCAATGGTGGTAGAGGGTGGTAGTGGTTGTGATGGTGGTAAAGGGTGGTAGTGGTTGTGATTGTGGTATGGTATGATAAGGCATGGTGAGGCTGCCAGTTCTGATAAAAAAGCAGCTGAAAAATATGTGCAGGACTTTAAGGGGTACATAGAGGCTTAAAAGTTAAAACCCCAACAAGTGTTCAACTGTGACAAAACAGGCCTGTTTAGGAAGAAAATGCCAAACAGGACCTACATTACTCAGGAGGAAAAGGCACTCCCAGGACACAAGCCAGAAAAGGACTTGTTACCTGAAGTCTTTATGGAAGGGGATTCCCCTTCCAAACACTAGAACACCTTCATCCTCTGCCCTCCTCCTGTCTCATCACTCATCAATAAGTTCACAATAAAGGTAAGTGTGATGTTATTGTTTTATTCTTCATGTTTTCTGTGTAGGGAAATGTATATTTCATGTAAAAAAATTATTTTGTTTAATACTTTTGGGTGTCTGGAATGGATTAATTGGATTTCCATTATTTCTCATGGGGAAAATTAATTCGGTTAAAGGCTAAATCGGTTAAAGACTAGCTCTCTGGAACGATTAAAGGCATCAACTGAGGGTCCACTGTACATAGTACTGTACTATAATATAAAGACAATGGTTCATGGGTAATACTTTAAATCCTTATCATATGCACACCATCAAAGAGGTCTTTTATTGATTTTTTATAATATCTCACCAAAGAAACAGGCGACTTGGGAATTTGTTTTGATGATCTTAAATTTGCAATTTGTGCTCGTAGCTTAGAAAATGCAGCTAACAGCTCCTGCTGAGTCTCTGAAGATGGTGCATAACCATATGGAGCAGTTGCTTTAACTTGTTTCTGGAATACAAGAAATCTTCTGTAACGTCTTTGCTGAAAGTATGAGGTACTGCAAAACAAAAAAGAATAAATGCCAAATTCAAACTCTGGAGAAAAATGTGTGCATGTGCACTCATTTTGATAAAATGGATTTTTTTTATAAAACAACCCCCCACCTTCCCTTTTATTAGTCCATCATATTGAGGTTTCACTGTATTATCATTACTGTTAAGGGAAAAATGTTTAACCTGCATGGGTCACACAGAGTCTTGGAAAAGAGAGGCATACAGGTTCAAGCCACAGAAGGAGAGTACAAGTTCAATTCCTTGGATCAAGAGTTCAATGGCATCAAGAAGCCTCCCTTTGGGGTTCTCTATACATTAGTTCAAACAGTACAGTATATGATAATGACAAATAAAAATGGGAGGTTTGTGTTCATCAGTACTGTATTGCCTTGAACCCCTTATTTTCATGAAGTGTGGAGGCATTTTCCAGAAAGGATGAGAAAATAAAGGTTTAAAAAAATGGATAACTTCTCTATAGGAAATGAATATCAGATGAATATTATTTTAGCAATGGTGAAAGTGTTGAATAATGATGAAAGTATTTTTCTTTCTTTTTGGGAAATGGCCGGTGTAAAAAAAAAAATTATTGTAGTTACATGCTGAGAATGCTTGTCACATTCTTATACCATAATGACTCTTCTGAAGCTTCTCCGTTTATACTGTACCTGCTATATTACTAACACAGGTTTTCCCTCATTATGGGAATACACTATTTTGTAATGTCCCAATTATACTGCCAATTCTACATGTAATCAGTCAGATTTGCAAAACATATTGAAAATTATCTTTTTTTTATGTGGAATTAAGTGAGAGCACTTGAATGATCTTAATACAGCTGCCATGGGCCTATAATGCATCTACTATACGGAATATCTCTAATTATTCACTTGTGTATTTAAATCACCCAATACAAAATGGGTCTCTCTGCTTCCAGTCCTGAGAGTGCTTCAGTCAAAATTATAATTTTTTTCCCAAATCACTGTATGTTACACACAATAAATTTTATTACAACCTAAATTATCACATTACAGTAGTATCCTTGAAATGAATGTCAATGTGTACTATTTTCTCATACTTTATCTTTCATAGCTCAATATCTCATGTCCCCAGCACTACCTTACAAATAGCTCTCATACACAGTTCTTTGTATCATTTCATTTTAACCAAATGAATTCCTACCTATAAGCTTTGTGTATTATACCAATTTACTAGCATGTTTAGTTTACATGACCTAGACACATTTAATATCCATTTCTTTAAGTTAACTGTGTTTGTTCCATTCTCATATTCACATCTGCTAAGATATGACATTACGAAGGACTGTACTTCCTACTAAACCTCCATCCATAGAAAGTGGCATCTTGAAATGTTATCATATTCATGGGGAAGCACTAAACTCATAAGGATCATACAGTGCTTAGGGAATGGGAAACAATTAATTTGATCCAAGGAAGGAGAGAGTAGTTCTAACTCCCTGCATCAAGAGCCTTTCACTCTCAGGGCACCCACCCACCTTGAAATGAGTGGCAGGAGACATGGTTATCTATTTATCTCATAAGTGCCCTAGCTATTCTTTTATATTATGCTAATAGGTACAGTACCTAGAATTCAGATTATATTATAACCTACAATCTTAGAAGCAAACCAACTGGTAGAAAAAAATAATTTACAACTTGGACAAGTTGTGGAGAGCAAAGATTCCTGAATCTGGGCAAAGGAGGAGATAAAATGTATTAAAAGTTTACCTTTCAGCATGAAGGAAGAGGATTCACATAAGTGAAACCCAGTACTGAAACTATGATATACCAGTATTCATCCAATAAAAGAATAAAATGATGTCCATCAAACTCACCTTAATAATGCTTCCTGGTTTCTTCAGTTTCTTTCTGTCTACATCAACTGTAACAACCTCCTTGCACTGCCTGGCCTCCCATCTGTTCATATAGAAAAAAAAAAGATATAAATGACCAATAAACAAGTAAGAATGCATGGGTACAAATAGGAATTGCCTTATATGGGCTATATGCTTAATGTTAGCAATGCACCTATGTATATTCTTAATTCTTAAATCTGTGCTCAATAATAACCAACATGGAGACAGAAACTCTGAAAATTAATTGGTTATAAATGGTGCAAAGGTGACATTAAAACAATATCAAAGATGGTTGAACATAAACCCATTACCAATATAATACACTCCTCGCTTAGCAACGAATTCATTTACATACATACTGTATGCCAAAATTTTATTAGTAGAAATCCAAAGTAAAGATGAGAAAATTATGGTAATCAATGCATACTACTCACAAATTAGTAAGATTTGGTAGAGGAAAAGAATTTGACATGAAAAGTGACAAGAGATAATAAGAAAGTTAGTGTAATTGGAGATTTCAAATACACTGTATGAAGAAAAATTAGGCAACCAATGAGGCTGAAACTAAATAAATAGTCAACAGAGTTCCCTAAGGTTGTGACTTTTTTATTAACCATCCATATATATTGAGTGACACAGGTGAGAGAAGGCAACACAATACTTGACTTGGTATTTACATGAATAAAGTAGAAAGATTTAGCAAACTATCATGTTCTACTGGAAATAACACAGTGTGTAGTATCAATATTTTGTGCATTAGCCAATTTTTCAGTGCTTTATGATATGTAATATTAATAGTTTCATGCTCTCACCCATGGTTGCAAGATAACTGCACAATAAGAAGTCTTGTTATGAGAAGCTTTACTTCACGTTCATTTGTATGCTCTGGCTAATAGTTTAGCACCAGCACACTGGGGATGAAAATATATGCTGGGCATTCAGTAATGTAACATTAATTAATATTTGAAATCAGCACCACTGTAATAAAGAACATTTAGGTCAGTGATGCAAGACTGTATAATGCTCCTGACATTGCTGACTCTCAGCAAATACTTACACCACATGCTGAAGATACTCCTCTGCAGAAGTTGGGGGCAGTGATGGATTGAAGTTGTCTGGAATTCTTGTTGTTGGTAAAGCCTGTGACAGGAGCGCGTCATCAGAAATGTCGCTATCACTTGCCATCATTAATTACCTGTAAGTTATATACATGACCCTTAAGAATAAATTATAATTTCTGTTAAGTTATTATTAATGAATATTTTACTATATATAGGCATAAAGCAAAAATAGAAAAAAATCTGTAATTTGTATTTACATATGGGACAAAAAAATTTAATCAGTGAAAGACTGCATGTCAGATTGGAGGGAGGGATTATGGATGAGGTAGTATAATGTGTTGAAACTGGGAGTAGGCTTGTTATCAGATGGGTCTATGAAACGAGGTGAACCACAGAAATGACAAAGAGAAAAAAATGGCTGTGTAGTGAGGCACTGTGGAAACAAAGAAACATCCATAGGGGCAAAAAATGGGGAATGTACCAGAGTATAATGGTGCCTACACTGTTATATGTATATAGAGCATGAGTTTTAATATACTCAAGGGAGGAGGCTGGAGAGAGTCAAGTCATGTGTGAGGATAATGTGTGGTGTAAATATTAAACAGAGATTTTGGAGCTTGGAATTATTAAAAGGACTGAGACAGGGTTATTGAGACATTTTGGCCATTTAGACAGGATGACACAAAATGGGATAACTATGAGAGTATATAAATCTGGAGTGGAGGGTATGAGGGGTAAGGGTCATCACAGGAAAGGTTGGGATGGAGTGCATGAAGGTTTTGGGTGCTAGGGGCATCAACTTCCAATAGGCTTATGTGAGTGCACTACATAGGAGTAAGTGGAGGTATGTAGTTTAAGACTTGATGTGTTGTTGGAGCGCAAGAAGGTTAACATTTATAAAGAGATTCAGGTATAATGGTTAGAAAGACTTCAGTCCTGGGAGAGGGAAGTGAAGTGCCTACATTCTGAACGGGAGATGAGGATGCTGTAGTTTAGAAAGTCATCTGAATTGTGATGTCAGCATGCTTCTAGCAAGACAATAACAGAACAAATAATAGTGAATATGTTTTCTCTTTTTTGGGTCATCGTACACCAGTAGGAGACAGCCAGTGTGTTAATAAAAAAAAATATTTATTGGCTTGCAGAAAGCAGTATATTATGCATTCACATCTAGGCTCCTAGAAGCCAAAAATGAATTGCTACCATGGGCTAAATTTTAGAGTTTGTAAGTACAGTAATGTGTAATCACCTGACAGGGCACACACCACTGAGGATTTCAACTTTTTTTTTTTTCATTCTTACAATGTATTGTGTGTGCGTGTATGCATGCATGTGTGTGTGTAATTCTATTTTAAGTGCAGTAAAATGGCTACACTCCTCTGTGCAAATATTTATATACACTCCTATGTTTATATACCTCCCTCAGTGTGAATGTCTATATACACTCCCTCAGTGTGAATGTCTATATACATTATGTCAGTGTAAATGTCTATATACATTATGTCAGTGTAAATGTCTATATACACTACCTCGGTGTAAATGTCTATATACACTACCTCGGTGTAAATGTCTATATACACTACCTCGGTGTAAATGTCTATATACACTACCTCGGTGTAAATGTCTATATACACTACCTCGGTGTAAATGTCTATATACACTACCCCGGTGTAAATTCATCTATATAAAAATGTGTAAATGGGTCAATATACATAGCATTCCATCAGTACTCACCTATTTGTGGTTACAGGGGTCGAGCCACAGCTCCTGGCCCCGCCTATGTACACTGCTGTGCAAATGGGTCTTGTACATCTGTGGATGTCTATATACATTCCTCATCATACACATCTCCCAGTGTCAATGTCTATATTATAAAATGTCAGTAAATGCGACTAAATTATTAGTATCATGGGAGCGCTAAACCCATAGGGATTATACAGCGCCTGTGGGTGGGGGGATGAAAGGCATTCAGGGAACTGGAGCACAGATCCAATTTCCCAGATCAAAAGCCCCTCTCACCAGTATCAAGGAACCTCCCTCGATGAGGGGGGGGGAATGTTTATATTATGAAATCAAAGACAAAGACATACTTAGCCTTAGAATTGTTGTTGATGGTGAGTGAGAGGGTCACCACACCTGCTGCCTTAGTTAACACTACTTACATATCTCCCTCACCACCCAACACTATAATAATAATAATAATAATAATAATAATAATAATAATAATAATAATAATAATAATAACAACAATAATAATAATAATAATAATAATAATAATAATAATAATAATAATAATAATAATAATAATGGTAATAATAATAAAGAACAAAAGGCACAATAACCCTTCGGGGTTAAAAATCTAAACAAAACTTAACAATATACCTTTTGGGTTATCGTAGGTTCTCAACACATATGCTGCTATGTATGATAATCTATGTAACTGTATTTGTGTATCCCTGAATAAACTTACTTACCTGGTGGCTAAAGCTCTTGCTTCACACGGCGAAGTCTAGGTTCGATTCCCAGCGAGGGTAGAAACATTGGGCGTGTTTCTTTACACCTGTTGTCTATGTTCACTCATTAGTAAAACAGGTACCTGGGTGTTAGTCGACTGGTGTGGGTCGCATCCTGGGACTGACCTAATTTGCGGGAAATGCTCAGCATAACAAGCGGTATTATATATAATAGTATGTTATTGATGTCAGCTATGGTCTGTATGCCTTGTGCATGTACTTGTAGAAATACAGATATTATTATTATTAACCTGCACGTAAAAGCTTATGACATTTCGGTCCGACTTGGACCATTTACAAGTTATTTACAGGTTATTATGTATTATCATTTTCAAATCAAATCAAATAAAATCAAAGTTTATTCTCTATAAGGATTACAATGCAGGGTTCACAGATTTTGGTTATTGTGTGGTTTACATACAGTAAAATACTAATTACAGAGGGGCCACTAGAACACCTAGCATGGCTAGGCATTTCGGGCAATCTTAGATTAATTCTTAACCCTAAATTATAACAAATTGTGGAGTAAGTTAACTAAATACTAAGTGACAAATTCTAGTTTTTGAGTTTAGCAATGTGAATGCTTTTGTTTTGGCACAATACATGGTTTCTATATTGGAGTATCACAGGCAAACTTATGACTAGTTAGGAATCATTATTTTAAGATTAGGATACGTATTTCTGTGCTTATAGTCAAATGGGTGAGTGAGTGAGTGTAAATATGGACCACCAGGTGGTTTTTATGTAGTTAGTTGACGGGGTGTATCAGGGAGATAAGATGTTTTCTAACGGTAGTTTTGAAGGTGATGAATGTGTCTGCAGTTCTAGAGTTCTCAGGTAGGGTGTTCCAGATTTTAGGGCCTTTGACATACAATGAATTTTTGTAAAGGTTTAGTCGGACACGGGGAATGTCGTAGAGATGTTTGTGTCTGGTGTTATGCCTGTGGGTTCTGTCACAACTATCAAGAAAGCATTTTAGGTCAAGGTTAATATTGGAATTTAAGGTCCTGTATATGTAGATTGCACATTAGTAAGTGTGGATGTTCTGAACAGGGAGTAAATTTAGATCTGTGAAGAGTTGGGGGGAATGTTGCCAGGGATGGGATTCAGTGATTATTCTTACTGCGGCTTTTTGTTGAGTTATTATTGGCTTTAGGTGTATTGCTGCAGTTGATCCCCAAGCACACATAGCATAGGTAAGGTATGGATAAATGAGTGAATGGTATAGTGTGAGAAGGGCATTTTGCGGCACGTAGTATCGTATCTTGGAGAGGATCCCAACTGTTTTGGATACTTTTTTTGATATGTGTTGGATATAGTTGCTGAAATTCAGGTTGTTGTCGAGGTATAGGCCTAGGAATTTGCAGGTTATCATGTATGATAGGTTATGATAGGTATGCAGGTTATCATGTATGATAACTGTACTTATGTGTACCTAAATTAACTTACTTAACACTAACCAAACCTGGACGGGAATCGGGAAGAATATAATACTATTCAATACAATTTGTATTTATTCATTACAAATAATGCAGTTTACATGCACGTCACTAATATGCTGTGCATTTCGGGTAAATTAATCTTAATGCTTATATGTGACTTGAGATTTAGATTTTTTATGCAGTTACAATTATATGAACAATAAGGAAGATAGCTGATGAATAAATGGTATAATTTTAAAAGTATAACTTATCACACTGATTCAGGGATCTTTAGTTTTGTGGAGTGATTGAATAGAGATGGTGAAGATACAACAAATTACTTAGTTATAATAAATATACAGAGGGACAAGATGTGTTACCAATGTTCTATGGTAGTTGAAGGAAGACTGGAAGAAGAACGAGGACAGAACTGAATGAGCTGATTTCGTGTGACACAGCGTAGTGCTGTTTCAGTTACATTAGGTAATGAAGTGATTTTCTAACAATAGACAAGTTTCCCTCGTGAACAGAAACAGCAACAAAACGTTTCCAATTAAGTGATAAGATAAGATTTCGTTCGGATTTTTAACCCCGGAGGGTTAGACACCCAGGATAACCCAAGAAAGTCAGTGCGTCATCGAGGACTGTCTAACTTATTTCCATTGTGGTCCTCAATCTTGTCCCCCAGGATGCCACCCACAACAATCGACTAACACCCAGGTACCTATTTGCTTCTAGGTGAACAGGACAACAGGTGTAAGGAAACGTGTCGGAATGTTTCCACCTGCCGGGAATCGAACCCGGGCCCTCCGTGTGTGAAGCACTCGTCCAAACTCCAGCAAAACTGGACATCTTGTCAGTATTTTATACCATTTTCAACAAAACTGTCAGGAGCTATGAATCGACCCCTGCATCCACAATTAGGCGAGTACTGCAGCACAACGGTATATTGGTACAGAAGACATCTTTCAAAGTCCGACTCCACTGACTCAAGAAATGTCTTCACCACAAACTCAGCAGCAATATACACTCCCTGTAGTGGCCAGTAACTAAAACCAATGTAGATAAAGATACAATTGTTAGTAGTGCCGCTTGAGCGGCTAGTTTTTGTGTACCTCATGTTCACTGTGAGTGCTAGTGCAAAAAGCAACATTAGTGTCATAAGGGTCCTTGTCACATCCCAGTAGGCATCATCACATCACTAAAAATATTAGTCATTTCATATTTTACAGTTACTTCATATATTATTATTATTATAATCAAAAAGAAGCGCTAAGCCACAAGGACTATACAGCGTTACTTCATATAGTTAATATACGCAGTGGAGGATGGAATACAATATCAAAAAAATATTATTAGTACTAAAATAAAAGCATTGAGCATAATTGGGTTGCATTATTATTATTATAATCAAGGGGGAAGCGCTAAACCCGTAGGATTATTCAGCGCCTATGGGGGGGATGGAAGGTATTCAGGGTTAATTCAGGGAACTGGAGCACAGATCCATTTCCTTAGATCAAGAGCCCCTCACCAGCGTCAAGGAACCTTTCTTGAGGGGTAATTGGGTTGCAATTAAAGACAAGTACTAGTAAATGAGAATCAGGACGAGTGATTCATGACCTTCGACTTTTTTTTTTTTTGAGTTATCCTAAGTAATGTACACATATGCTGCTATGTATGACATTTTATGTAACTGTATTTATGTGTACCTGTTCCTGAATAAACTTACTAACTCCCACTGGCTTACCAGTCCACCACTTTAAAAACTGGTACAGTATTAGTAAGACTCACATGCGCAGTTCAAACCATTTATAGAGACAACGTTTCTTCACGAATTTTTTCTTCAGTTTTCGAAAAGCAACCAGTGGCGAAACGTTTTCTCCGTGAACGTCTTGAGCTGTGCTGTGCATCAATTTATTTGCCGGAGAATAGATGTGTCACCACATCTGTTCTCCGGCAAATTGAAGTATATCGACTAATTGCCCATGACTCACGAAATCACATGGTTGACCAATTAGGGAACAGGTGGGGTTGGAACCCATGGCGATGGAGTCGTATAACTCACAGGCCAGTGCGTTAACCGCTCGGCCAGCTGTTTTAATAAGATTCATCCAACTAGGTATAGATCCAGTTGGTTCAGTGGTTAGCGCACAAGCCTGTGAATTCTAAGACTCACTTGCCATGAGTTCAAATCCCACCCATCCCATAGCTCGATTGTTAGCGTACTCAGCTCAAACACTGAGGTCTGTGGTTTGATCTCCGGTACGGGTGGAAACATTAGGACGTGTTTCCAATAGACGCCTGCTGTCCATGTTCACCTATCAGTAAAATAGGTACCTGGGTGTTAGTCGACTGGTGTGGGTCGCATCCCGGGGACAAGGGACTTTGTATATAAGAGTATGTCATTGATGTCAGCTAGGTCTGTACATCCTGTACATGTTCTTGTAGAAGTGAAGATATTATTTTTGTTGTAAAATGGTAGAGCAAGACGTGGAGACTGCACAATGGTGCCACCACAGCATTATTATTAACCTCTCCTTCCCACTAAACCCACAAGAGTCATACAGCATTGCTATGGGGTTTAAAGCCTTTCTATTACACTAGGGCCATCAAGACTGGACGTAACCTTTGCACCACCAGACAAGCTTACTGCGAGAAATTACCTGCAGGAGGTTTACCTGAGTTATTATATGTACGTAATTTAGGTGAGGCAAGTGGGACATAGTCACAGTAGGTCACAGGACTGTCACTCCTTCGATGCCCACTCCTTCACCACTCTCACAAAAAACTTGACCTGACATTAAATTAATAATTACAATATTAACCATTAATACCAATAATGGTAAATTATAAAATAGTGTGGATTGTACGAAAATTAAAGGAGACGGTCTCCAGAAAGGATTAATGGGAGCACTAATACACACAGGATAAGAATTTTCAAATTGACACCAGGCACATATGTACCAAAAGTTAGATAATTAAATTTATATTACCAC